GATTTAGGAATTTAGGGTTTAGGGTCTGGTGTTTGGAGACTTCCCCTATTGGTGTTGCGAGGGTTGCAGGATGAGTAGTTAGAGCCTTGGCCTATTTTTGGTCGAATCTCTCACAATCTATCGTGCTGTGGGTTGCCATCTCGAGACCCAGCCCCTGAAACCGACATTCCAAGTCCTAAGCCCTGAAGCCTAGAGGCCTGTTTTTGCCGTGCTGATCCGATAGCCCAAGCTCAGCCCACCTGAGCCCTCAGACCTATGCATGAGGCTTCAGGGGTTTTCTGGATTGGGGGATCAGGGTTGACAAATTGAAGCCCTCGACTCTGAACACGAAATTCCACAAAGAAACCCTTATGCGAAGAGACACCCTTACAGAATCGTGATGGAATCTTTCTGAGAATCTGAACTGCACCCATTTCATACCGGAGACCAGCAATCTGAAGCAGCGTCGCTCAAGCTGCATCCTTAATCCAGGAATCTAGGTAACCGCACACCCCGGACCCAAAGCCCCAATCACTAAAACTCCTGAGCACGCTGCCAGAGTTGAACGCTCAAGTTTCCCCAAACCTACCAGCTCTTTGGGTTTTAGGCCTGGAATGCCCCGGCCTCCCACCTTGAACATGGGCCGGCGGGCCCTGGCTCTTTCCCCTGGCTCTTTCTGTCTATGAGGCAGTCGTGGCTTTTCAGATGGATATTGGAGTTTCAGAAAAATACCTGGGCTCGAAGCGAAAAAGCTCCACGAAGTATCAAGATCCTCAAAGAAGGACCCTCAGGAAGGGATCCATGATTTCAATCAGAAGCGCATTCCCGAAGGTTCAATGCCAAGTTGGAGTATTTCTGCCTTCCAATGGCCTCCAAGGCGCTTCAATTCCGGGCATTAATGTGCGCTCTGTTTGCTTCGGGTCCAGAGTGGGGACACACTCGGCTTCTGAGTTTTACGAGAGCATGGGGCTTGCAGCAAAGGAATCCCTTCCCCCTTCTGTTGAAACACGCCCCGAACAATAGCCATTTTTCGGAAAACCTATTGAAATCATCACCGCCTTTGAAGTAAAATTTGGAGTAGGGGGTCCGGAGGAGCAGGAACAGGAGTGTAGAGAATCCACCGGCAAGAGCGGTGTCTGGTTTTCTACTTCCGCTACGGCCCAAAAGGCTTTGGAGCACTCACTGGAATTTTCTGCACATGGGTTTAGGGCTTTAGGGTGTTACGGTGTAGAGTCTGAATCTTACTGTGTAAAGTTCAAGGATTTCCGGATGTAAGGTGTTGCCGTGGGGCCACATATTGACCCGAAACACTGAGTTTAAGTACATCTACTTTCAAGAATCACCATTTCTCTCCGAGCCCCTCCCATCCGAGCCCCAACTCAGGCTTAGTTTGTTTTTTGGGGCGTCAGACGCGTCGGATGCCTTGGATTGGGCTTTTCGGATATTCCGGGGTTTCGGTCTGGCTGTGAGAGTGAGAGCACGAGCGCAAGAGGTCCCCAACGTGAAGATGGACACGGATTATCGACTTCTTGTTCTGGATTCTGGATATGGTGACATCGATGCTTGGTTACACTCGGGGATCTACCTTGGGGGGGGGGGGCGGGGCGAGGGTTCCGGCCTGCTTGAAACCAAATCCTTACATAGTTTCATCCTGGAGCGACAACAGTCACCCGTAAATCCCAGCATCGGCACCCTCAACTCCAAGCCCAGAAGACCCAAAGACCCAATTCTCCATAGATTCGGGGCCCGCAGACTGGGTTTCAGTGGTGCAAACCCAAATTAAAATACTTCAGACTCCTTGGGCTTGGGAATTGCTGTTCAGGCTTTGGGAAGTAGGCTTTGGAAGTTAGGGCTTAGAGTTGTGCCAATAGGATTTAGGAGTTGGGGTCTTGAGCATTAGGGGTCCTAACTTAGGGGCATACGAGTTTAGGATGACGAGTTCATATAGCTTGCAGGTTCTGCGTGTGGTGAGAGAGTGAGAGATCTCAGCTTTACTCCTTCCCGGATTTATCTTCGCACAACACCGAAAGCTAGACACTTGTGTATGTATATGTATACATATATATATATGTATGTGTGTATATGTGTATATGTATATGTATATGTATATGTATATGTATATGTATATATGTATGTATCTATCTATCTATCTATCTATCTATCTATATATATATATATGTAACTTTGGACTCAACCCTACCCGCTGATGCCTCTTTTTAGAGGGCGAGTCTCATGGATCCACTAGGAACTACAAGGACCAAGCTTCAGCTGCCGAGAGCCCGAAACCGTAAAACATCAGCTGGCCTGATGTTTCCTAAAGTTTTTGTTTGTATTGTAGTACTCCGCCGTAGTCGAACTATGTCGCCTTCTATATACCAGCCAACGGAAAGTCTGGCGTCCTGCAGTGAAGCCTGCTAGAGTTACTAGACGGGTCTCAAAAAGGTGTTCTAAGATTTATAGCACACTATACTATATCCTGGGTACTATGCACTATCTGTCATTCATATACTGTGTGCTTTATAGGTTTGTACTGTGTGCTCAATTTTGTATATCTTACACTATAATATGTACTACTCCCTTGCACTCAAAGCTCTATTTTAGACTCCATGCTCTGTGCCATATACCTTAAAACTCAATGCTATGTACTGTATGCTCTTTCCATAGACTCTTATGCTTTAAACTCTATACTACAAGCTATATGTATACCCTACATTACATACCGCATACCTTTTACTGTGCACTATATGCCATAAACCCCATTCTAACCTACTCTACTTCCACCATAAATTTCTGTACTATACTACTTCTATTGTATGTCATCCTGCTGTGCTGTGCTGTGCTGTGCTGTGCTGTGCTGTGCTGTGCCGTGCCGTTCTGTGCCATGACATGCTGTGCTGTGCAATGCAATGCTCGGAGCTGCATTCCACGGCTCCTGCATTCCGTTCACTTGTGGTCTACTTGACCATGCCCTACAAGATGGTATGGTCCAAGACCTGCTGCAAGTTATGGAGGTCTGGCATCAACACAGCATGTGAGCCTGAACCCTTCAGTTCAACAACACCCAGAATTTGACTACTCGCTGCAAGGAACAGCTCCGTGATGAATGCGACTCCAATGAGATGGAGGAGCCGACAAATGAGACAGTTTCTCCAAGTTGAAGAACATTTCTGAAGGATACTTGTTTCGATTCGTGAGCTTGGAGATGTCAGCGTTGTGGGCCTAATCGTAAAGGCCTTTGCCCTCAAGGCCTTGCGGTTTGGCGATCGTGGCCATGCACGGCAGCCTCCCCAGTCTTTGCCGTTCCCAATGTTTACAGAGGACATTTCAGGCAACGTTGAATGTGGAAGAACTCCATGGGAGGGCCCAAGGCTACGACCTCTTCTTGAAAAGATGTTACCGGCAGCTTTCTAGGACTCGTTGACACCGGTTCAGACTTTCGTGCTGAAGGCCCAAAATCTCGACTTTCAGCGCAGCTGAAGCACCACAAAATCTACGGACAGCAAATCTCTGCATCAGCGGCCTAACGATCAAGTCGACCTGTTAAATTCCGCGAGAGTCAAGCCCTGAGACCTATAAAGCCTAGACCCCAAACCCTCGAACTACCCTTCCAGTAGAACCCTACAATCCCTTTAAAGCCCCATGGCACGCAAAGATTAAAAGCTCTTGTGGAACTGTAGCATCTAAAATCCATCAACCCTAAAACCCTAACGCTCTTTCGAACAGTCTCGGAGGAGCCTAGGGGTCCGATGGTGTCCGAAGGGCTGGGTTGTGCGCGTTCTACGCCTGCTGAGCTGCCGCTGGTCTTCAACAGACATGGCCTTTCTAATGCAGCGTTTTCGTCGAATAAGGGGTTTGTAGGGTTTCTATGAGGTATTCTAGGGTTTTGCTTTCAAGTTTTTAAAGGGTTATAGGATCCTTTAAGGGCCTGAGCCTATTCAGAGTATAAGACCCCACAACCCCTGGTCTGATTCATGCCCCAGCAGCAGGGGCTGCAAATTCACAGGTGTAGGTCCCCAGCCTGGCTTTCGAATTGAGTCATTGTTTGGCTTTTGGGCTTGTCCTGTTATTTTGGAGAGGGTTCGGTTTTCTTCTTTGTATTTGCACGTGGCTCTCCTGTTGTTGTGGGCCTTCGCTCCCGAGGTGAAAGAGGATAGGATCGTTTCCGTTGGATCATCTTGAAGGATCTTGGAGCCTTTTCTGGGTCGGATGTCTTCAACACCAGGAGTCCATTTCTGCGGAGAATAAAGTATTCGGATACCTTGCGTTTGGAACTTCCCATTTGGGACTTTGGCTTTGACTTTTCGGGGATTGTTTGCGGCTCGTCGGTTGTGGGGTTCTGGCTGTTGTGGATGCAGGCTTGATCACTTTCGGCCAATAGGGGGCCTAAACACAAGGAGCAATCAAGCCCCCCTATCCATGCGACGTGTGACGATGCCAGGTTACGTGAGAGCTGGTCAAGTTTAGTCCTTGTCCCAAGATGATCGTGGTTCCGGAAAGTAGGGAGAGGGGTGCCCTTGGTTGGTAAAGCTGACAATCAATATCTTCGTGGTTTTTCGGGTTTGCAAACACATATGTACATATATATATGTATATGTATAGTATATAACTATATACATACATACATACATACATACATACATACATACATACATACATATATATACATATGTATATATATATATGTGTGCATATACATACGTGTATAATACATATACATATGCCTCTATATAAAATGTATAGATAGGTGTAGATATCGATACATGAGATATAGAGATATAGAGGTATAGAGGTTTCGAGATGTGTATATAGACACCTCTATATATCTGTAAAAAATTTGTGTATTTAGTTGTAGAGAATAGAGATATAAGTATGCATATATATATATATGTATAGATATTTACATTGATCAAGATATATAGATATAGTTGTAGGTATAAGTACAAATATAGACATATGTGTGTATATATATACACACATATATATATATGCATGTGTGTGTATATATATATACACACTGTTGGTGCATGTACGTTTGACGTGTGGGTGTTTATAGCCACAAAGCGATAAAGCGCATACGCCCCGAAGTCCTAACGCCTTGGAGCCCTAACTTGACAATCTCACAGCCACGATGCATACAACAGGGGCCTGAGTATACTTTAACATTGTCGTGGCATTCCTTCCGGTTCCCTGTTATACCTAAATGGTACATAAAAGTATACCACGGCGCCCTGTTCTAATTTTTCGGGCCTGTCTAGCACCCTGAGAAACCCCTTTGTAAATCCAGATCCAAAACCCACCAAACCCCACAAAAAACGATGTGAATCTTGATGAACACCTGTTGCACTCGCACGGCCCCCTAGATTAGTCAAAGGTGGCAGTCGCGACGACCACCCGGTGACGTTGCATCGCCTCGAAGTCGAGGTGGCTATGAAGGTGATTTCAAACATCTCATATAGGCTCACGCACATATATATCCATACACATGTGTAAATATATACACACAGTATCTTTATGTAGTTGTATAGATACATGCATATGTCTGTATATATATATGTGTATATCATAAAATGCAATACAGGTACGGTATGCATATACACACAGCTTTGTCTCTCTGTGTTTTCTTGCAACTCTGCGAAGGCCTTGGCCCGCCGCCGCCGATCCCGGAACAGGATCCCGGCAAGGAGACTCTGCTCTTCCCGAAAACATGTTTGAAAGAGGAGGGTTTGGGGTTGAGGTTTTTGGGTGAATGCGGCTGTGTGTGTGTGTGTGTTTTGTCACGGTGTAGGGCTTCAAGGGTTTCGGGAATAAGCATTAGGTTTGGGGTTTAGGCGTTAGGGGTTTCCCGGTTTTTGGACTGCAGGATAGGGTTTCGAGTTGTAGAGATGAGTCTCCAAGTCTTTGGATTCAAATTGGTGGTGGATTTTCCAGGGCTAGGGTCTCTCCACGCATAAATTGCGTGGTTCGGCCTTTAACAGTTTAGACATGTAAAATGAATCGACTGGAAAGCTCTCCAGGCTTGGGAGGGCAGGGGTCGAGCATGTAAAGGTAGCTCGACGTATTCTGCTCCACAGGCGTGCTGGTTTTCCTCAACTTCTAAACCCCATCCAAACCCTACAGCCTCATAAGCTCGGCATAAGACCTGCACATGGTGGCGGAGGCTTACACTTGGTTGTTCTATCACTGTCTCGCACTCGGAGCTGCGGAATCCATCAAGCCCCGAGACTCGCAGGGATCATGTTATGGACCTACTGCGAACTCTAACTCTCAAAACCCCCAACTCTAAGTCCACAAGCCTGGAGCCTACTAAGCTTATCAACCCTAGACTCTAAAGCCCAAAGCCGAACCACCAGAATGCATCCCATCACGTCCCAAGGAGTCCTTCGGTCTTCCAGCGCCTTGACACCAGTTTCGGCGTTGGTGTACTGCTACTCTCCAAGGCCGAGAGTCTAAAGGCCCTCAGCCTCTTGTTCTGAATCCCGAAGCCCCAGACCAGTCAAGCCGAAGGCGCTGAACCATTAGGCCCTGCACCCGAAGGCCCTAAACCCTATTGAAGAATCC